GTAAAAATTAACTTGAGTTTGCGTAATTATCATGAAAGCAACATTTAATACAAAGTTGAAATATTCAGAGCTGGTACAACAGATTTGCGTAATTAGAAAAGCAGTGCACTAAGTAAACGACGTTGATATATTCAAAGCCAGTACAGCGCTGCATACAAGTTGCGTAATTACAGTACCGTCGGATATAATAAAAAAATTACTAGATCGACGCGCGGACCGCAAAAGAAAAAGGTTGCTAAGGTAACGCGCCAGTTCAGCGCGTGACTTGGGGTCAAATTTCGGTCAACACACACTTATAACTTATATACTTAACTGGTCAACACATCAGCGCGCAGCAAGTTTCGCAAAGTACGCTAATCACTCAGTTGTCGCAGCGTGTGTTGTGTCATGTCCATGATGCACTCAGTTTCGACTTTGACTTGCTTTTCCTTCTTAGTGCATGTTCTTGTTCACGTAAAATTCGACCTCTCACCAATGTATTAAAACACTTTGAATTTATACTTTGCATGATTATATTTGGTCAACGCGAAACATTATTTTTTCTAGACCATTTCTATCAACTCAGGTTAATTTTTTTTAGAGAAGATGGGCCTCGTAATATCTGCCAAAAGATCGCCCGGGCGGGGTATCAGCCGAATCCGGTAGTTAAATAATAAGCTTATTAAAGTGCCTGCGAAATGGCTGCTATTTTCACGCCTAAAATTATCAATTGATACATAAATATTATTAATTTTTATGTTTCTAAGCATGAATTATTTATTTAAGTGAAAAAATGTGTTTTAAACTCAGTCTAGGGCAACTTTATTTTTGTGTACTAGTATTTTAAAACGAGGCTCCTCATTAGCATACAGAAATTCCCCTTGTGACGTCAGAAGGGGAAGTCGCATGACAGCTTGCATTGCCGATACGTGTAAATAAGGCAAATTTCTTGTGCAGTTTTCTCGTCTTTGACTATATTGTCACTTATGTACTTGTTCGTCGAGGACGAATGGACCATAATGAACACATAGTATCATTTTTTGTTGCATGGGGTTAAGTTAGATACGAAATATGTCCGTTCTGGTGTAGCTGGTCACCGTGATCATCACCGACACTGGCGCACGTTTGTACACTGTTGCAAATTAATTCTACACGATACATGACAAAAAACACATGCCTAGCATAATTTATTCAGATGCAGCAAGGAAAACTGGTACAAATAATCCTAAAGAAAGAACCACTTATAATCTTAATGAAATAGAAAAGTGGTACAAACATAATTATTCAAACCTTGGATCAAAGAAATAACGCAAACTTCTAATGTGAATTGTGTCTTGAAATTTTTATCCCGACACAATGTATACATTCCTTTCTTACAGATTTCTATGTGTAATTCCCACTGTCAATGTGATCACTAAGTTGTTTTTTCAGATTCTGAAATATTAATATATATATATATATATATATATATACTTGGGACGATGTAAGAACATTGCATAGACTGTCCTCGTCTTCTCCCGGAGTCTCATCTTGTCTTTTTGTTTAACACATAGCCATAACTGTATTTTGGTCTATTATTATGACATTTGATGTGTAAGCCATTATAAGAAATCACTGTTCCTGAGATCAATTGCAAACAAAAAATACAATCAATGACGCCAGCACTGCGGCAACATTTTATACAAATTTCACAAAATGCCGTTTCACTTTTAAGCCCCTTGTGTTTCTGTTATTATTTACACACAATCACAGGGGGATATATTGTTGCTTTCTAACTTGACAAAAGTACAATTTTCATACTAAAACACTGAGGACTTTCTTTTTTGGCGTTTTTCTCCATCCATGGATTTAGACTTCATACGTATGTCGATTCCCAACTCTTTGCGTTTTTTCTCCCAGAAGGCTTTCAGACGAGTACCCGCTTTGAACTCTTTGGAGAACGGCTGATTGTAGATTTCACAGTTGCTGAATAA